CCCCCCCCCCCCCATTTGCACTCGAAAAGGCTGTTTTGAGCCCTTTTAAAGGTCAAAGGTTTTCACGAAGGGGGGGGGGGCGCCAGTGACCACCATCAATTATATAAATTTCTACTATTTCTATTGTTTTAAGCCGCCATGTTTGATAGAAGATGAACTATGTAAGCAGGTTTGCACATCACCACGAGAAAGTTGCGGTCACCCCTGTGCAGCACAATGCCATGAAGGAGAGTGTCCGAAGGTTCCTTGTAAGAGCAAGGTAATACTGGGAAACATTAGGGAGTTCGCGTATATGTAAGACGGCGACGTCAGGACGACGTCTAAGTCTAGCAGGAGTTTTGGACGTCGTCCAACGGCAAAATACGTATTTTCACGTCTCGTATATAGTACGCTAGCATTTCAAGCCGTGACAGGTTTGAGTTGATCAAAATTGCTCTCCAGGTCAAATCGCTGTTTTACTCGTTCGAAACTGTATAAATTTATACGAAAGTGAATACAAGACAATTTTTTACCACTATAAGCGGAATTTTGCGCGATGAGTGGAGTTTGTCTTTGTCTTGGCATTTCTCGGGTGGAGCTATATAATTAGAAAAGAACAAGAAAAATTCCACTCCGCGCGCAAAATTCTGTCTTGTGGAAAACCGACTTATTGGGAAATAACTGAAGCGTACATTATATTTTTGTTTAATTTTTTTTAGTCTTGCACAAACATATGTCTTCAAAAGAAAATAGTAAATATGCATGCCTGTATAGCACACTTTTAGTAATTATTTAAGTGGTATTCCTTAGGACATTATAATTATACTATCAATATGCTTTACGCAATGTTATATCGCACTGCTCTAGCTTCGTATTTATTGTCCATGCGGTCGAAAATCTGAAGATGCTATTTGTCTGAAGGGTGGTGACAAAATGGATGTTGCCCAAGCTTACCAAAGGTATATCCCCGCTACGTTTTTAACAGGTTCAGATTTAACTACCAATACTGTACCTTTCACTGGTTTAGTACCATCTGATTGGTTAATCAGATATTTCAAAAGCATTTGATTGGTTAATGGTCCTTTACTGGTAACGGTAGTGGAAGTCAAATCTGCACCTCTCTAATGTTTGTTTGTGGAGGTCTGCCAGTCGCGTTCACTCAACCATTTAAATACGAATGGTGTCGTATTTTTCCAGGTTTACTACTAAAAATTTGGCTGAAAAGATAAAGGGTCTGCAAGGAGGACAAACCGTGGATATCAGTGGATTAATGAATTTGGACGAGCGAAAATCTCAGTAAGTGTAATTTAACCCTATCTACAATGATTTATGCTGTTGCGCGTCATCTCTTTTCTGGCTTCCTTAACCTTGTTTCCAATTCTCGCATAAGACAAATCATAGGTCCCTGTTGGCTGATATAGTGAAATATACCTATATGCATGCTATTATTTGCCGTCTTTGGCTATACTTGACCAGTATACTTAAATTAACCTGTAAATACAACTAATTTAACGTTGTCCTCTGTCCGATTATAAGCCGGTTAGCTTAACCCCGGGTTAACGAAAAACGTCAAAGCAATAAATATGGAATTATTTCATCAGAACTTTTATTTTCGAAAGTTTTGAAATGGATAGACATGTAGAAATACAGAAACCAAGACAGCAGGTTAAGGTGAAATCTCGCAAGCGCAAAACGTCGACCTCTATATAAGCGCGACAAGCACAATGGGTGTGTTTATTATTACAGTATTAGATTGGTTATGCATCCATGTTAGAACAGTACTTGTTATGTTTTACTGATCAAGTATATGTCTACTACTTATGCTAATACAGTCATGATGAATTCTGACGGGTTTGCTATTAAATTATGTTGGACGAGCAACAAAGATCCGAAATATATATGGTGTATTTCTGACGGTATATACTTGCTCTGCCTTCGGTATACCCGCTTTTGCTTTTTTGTTGCTCGTATAGCTAAATTTACTCCTTAACCGCTCTTTTTCACTTTTCCTAATGTAATCTGAATGCGTAATAAGTATAGGCTCACAATTGTTTTTAATTAAATGATCTATTTGTTAGCATATTTTAAACGTTTTACAGTGGGGGTAAGAGTAAGGTTAGAGCCCATGCAGTCTGAGCCACTAACTAACATGGCGGGGCCTGTTCTTATAATAACTGTTTCTTAGTCAAATAGTGATGTTCTTTATTTAGGTTAGATTGTGATGATGAGTGCGCTCGTCAGCAACGAAACAGGTATATATGTCGAAACGTATGTCCCAGGCTTCTGCGCTGAAGTATATATTATAATAATTACACTTGATATGATTTCACAATATCATGATATTAATAGTAATCTTTATTGCCAGAACTTTCAAAAAGGACTTCATTTACATGACATGCATTATGTTAATCCTAAACTTAACTCTAACCGTAAATAGTAAATGTAGATGTTAACATGTTTTGAAACTGTAATACAGCAGATCGTCTTCGATCATGTCCTGGTTTGTACCAAATTGCTTATATTTTACGTACATCCATCTTTTGAACTTTTATTCCAGAGCGTTAGCTGAAGCTCTTGGTATTTCTCGGCCAGACACCCCTGAAGTTGTCCAATATCCTCATTTCGTGGAAGAACATGGACGGTATGTGTTGTTCTGTAATGTGATTTATTTTGAATATGACAACGACAATACCATTACACCATTTTGATAATTACGTCACAAGTCCCTCCATGGCCCGGAAGTCTCGTTCTCGTCATGATTCATGAGTACAAGGATCCAACGAGGTTTTCGTCACTTTATGGAAAGTTTGCATTGTTTTGGGACGTCATACAAGGCGTTGGAGCCTGTGTAGGGGAAGAGAAAAGTGCAAATAATCATGCGCAGATTTGCGCATAGGAATCACGTGATTATCTATATATACTGCTACGTGAACCTGTTCTACACTTATTTCTGACTGCTGTAATTTTTTGCTCATGACAGAGTTTTTTTTAAACCAACTGACTGTGCGATTTGACTGAACATCAAGATTACGTAAAGCCTTTGTTCAAATTTGATGTATATACATCCGTTGATAATTTTACACGATATCATTTTTAGGGCAAATATGAAGTTTGTTTATTTTGTTGAAGATGCCTTGGATTATTTAGTCAAGAACGTTGCAAAGGTGAAGTTAAATTGATGCTACTGAACTTTTAGCTTTGATATATAGTCGTGACGGTCCTAAATACACAGGCACGATATTTCTTGAAAATTTGCGGCGAATCACAATTTTCAGTACTTCTAATTTTCTGGGTTTTTTCGTCGTCGAGAAATCGAGTTTGAGTTAGCGCATCGCAGGCTCAGTTTTCAAGTCCCCCGAAAATTATTAAAAGTTGGATCCTGGAAATGGCATTTGCAACATTCTGAGAACACATTTTGTAAAAAACTTTAGGTTTTCAAAACACTGTTTTAATCCGCCACTGAGTAGTGCATCTACAGTATTGCTGCATTAATTACTCGAGCTCAGCTCGAGTTATAGTTTCAGTCGGGGTTTTTTTTCTCGCAAGACTTATTCTCCCACGCGGCCACTCTTAATTCTGACCAATCGAAACAAATCGTGAACGCATTTGATTATTTGTGATTATCTTATTGGCGTTCAATGGCTCATTTGACTTCCTGCTCTCGTGCTATTACTTTGTTTACTCTCTGAGGACTGTACTCAGCAGTACTCTTTAATACAAAAAGTTTAATAATAGTGGATTTTAATATGCGTACTCGATCAAGTATTTGTCAATGTATGCTTTCTACGTGTATTCGTTAAAAAGTAAACGGCTGTACGCTTTCTAAGCGTAATCGATCAAAACGTAAACGGCTGTGCCTGTACGCATATTTTGTGTGCTCCATCTAGTTTATATTCAAAATATCTATCACATGTATCTAAACTATCCAATTTAATTCCATCGGAATCGAAATACTAGTCTACATGCGGCAGTCGGGCAGCGTGCCCGGCAGGCGGCAGTCAGGAAATTTAGTCCTAAAGTGTTAAAAATATTCTCTTAAAAAACTTAAACCCACCCCACACACAACCCTAACTCCTAATCCTAAGACCTAAGCTTAAAATCATACTCGAAAGAAGTTGACTGAAAAAAAAATTTTTAACTTGAAAATAAAACTGTTGCTCACGGGGCTTGAACCCTGGAACACGCTTCACAGACGGGCGCCTAAACCACTGCGCCACAAAGGGACTCGGTTATCTCGTAAATAATGCACTTTAAAGGAGTAAACTAAGATGTAAAATGTATTAAATCTTGATGCGAATACGCTGAATACGCAGATATTTTGCATTTGCCCGATAATCGAAAGGCGATGCCTGCGGAGGAGGCTATGCAAATCCTTTAGGTCGATTAAACGCTTAGCAAGCGTCTTGTTATTGATAATATCAAGAGAATCGTGTGCGTCATTCAAGATTTTGTACCCATGTCTTTGTCGTAGGTCCAGAGTCAACAACTGAGTCATTCCTTTGCACCAATGAACAACAAGAGCCGACGTTTTATTCACGAACTGGCGACGATGTACGGGTGTACGTCGATAAGTTACGATCAAGAACCGAACCGAAATAGCGTTGTCACCGCTAATAAGTAAGTTCATTGTAGCATTGCACCATGCATGTTGTCATTTCAATTTGGAAATTTTGCGTTTATATTCTTCTAAAGAATAATAGATCTTTAGAAGAATATAAACGCAAAATTTCCAAAATGAAATGACAACTTGCATGGTAGCCAGTTTTCCACTTCGACCGTACCGAAACGTACTGGTGAGCATGCGTAGATTGAAAAGAGGTTGATAAATCCACGTTTTTCCGGCCGGGTGTATTCAACACCGCGGAAAAACGTCTGCGCATGCACCAAATTATGAAAATATGGCGGGGAATTTGAATATCAATTTCTAAAACAAAAACATGCTTATTAATTGGTCAAAAATTAGTAAAACAAACGAGAAAATATAGCAAATGGGTAGACTAGACATTAATTGAAAGCGTCCTGGCATTTAAAGTATGGAATGAAATATAATTCATGTAAAAAATTGTTGATTTTAACGGACACAACTTCGAAAATTTTTGCAAAATTATTCAAAACAAAAATTCAAACTAAAAAGTTAAGAAAACTCTCGAAAAGTTAAGCTTCTTAACCCACTCAAATTGTTGAATAAATCCTAAAGTTTAATTATTGTGAACACGAAATTTTTTTATATTTGGCGACACTGTTTTTTTTAAAGAAATGTATCTCAAACGAAAATACGGAAATTGTCGTTGCTTAGTTGATAAACAAAATGTTTCAGACGATAAATTTGTCAACAATCACCTTTAGTTCATGTTCTTGTACAATACAATTTCTTGAACCTTCTGGCTGTATTTATTCCTAGTTTTTAGAATGACATGTTTATTTTTGCGCTCGAAATCTGGCTGTAAAGACGCACAATATAGTCACTCCTTTTTACCGCCATTTTGTGCCTTCGGAAACGTTCGGAACAGCTTCTCATCAAGTTCGCAATACTATTACAGGTAAGGTTGACGCATGCGCAGACGTTTTTCCGCGGTGTTGGTGTATTCGCGTATCAAAATGAAGACTTCGTCGCACGTCAACTTTTTGGCGTACTATGGAAGTATTAACCAATCAACATTCACTAAATTTTGAAATTTAAAAATGTTTTTGATGCGTTTCGGTACTGTACGCTTGAAGTGAAAAAATGACTGAACTGTACGTCACGGAATGAAACGTTCTCAAGAATTTGGATATTTATTTTACACTAATTGATCGGATTTATTAATTTCAAAGATAGATCATACTCTAAAATGTATATCATTACAAATTTATTGATTATTCTATAGAGACTCGCGGTGTCCTCGTGTGAAACTGTCGTCTCAACTTCAGCGTCAAATGAACCCTCAGCCTCCACCACCTGTACCTGTCCTGCCTGAACAAGGAATAGGAAATGTCAAGTAAGTATGCATACACGTTATATGAGACTTATGAATGTGAAAGGAAAGGCATTGCAAGGGAAAGACATTGCAGGGGCAACAAGAAGGCCTATGGACCATGGCCGGAGTTTGAGGGGTGGTGTGGGGAGGTGCGCAACTCCCCCTATAAGATCGTTTTGCATCTCCCCTGAGAATTTTTGCACCTCCCCTGAAAAATCATGCACCTCCCCTTGGGAAAGTTTCAATGATAGATCAAAGTGAAAATTTGATTTGGTTGCTTAGGGTCTACACTTCGTTAGGGTCTACACTTCGTTAGGGTCTACACTTCGGTCCACACTTCGTTTCGGTTGCTTAGGGTCTACACTTCGTACGAACGTTTTTCTGTAAAATTGAAACAGTGATAGCCAATCATCTCTGTGTCAAGTAAAGAACCTTTGCAGTAATTGTAATGAAGGGCAAGATTGGACGAGTTGTACAGTCATAATTTATTAATACACTACATGCATACGTCATAATGTACACTACATGCATACGTCACGTCGTTCACTTTGGCCCTAACTTTCCATGGGGGTCGTGAGCTAACCCGCTGCACCTCCCCTAAATTGTTCCCACCTCCCCCACTATTTCCACCAAAATCCGGTCTTGCTATGGACAGGGGTTGAAATAGGCAGGCGCCAGATCGTCAATTGCGACTCAGTATTTCATCTGGCTACCAGATATTTGCCAAAGGTAGGCCTGGGTAACCATCGTGGTGATCGAGAAAAAGTTAAAATAATTAAGTAATTCTGAAGCCTTAAAATATCTCGGTGTCCATTTCATTATGCTTATGCATATAGTTTGCCAACAGATTAAACAATTGGGGTTTTTATGTTATCTATATACAAAAGAGAAGGGAGACCTGATATTAAATTTGGCGACCAGATTTTATTCACTGGTTGCCTCTTGGACGACTAAAAAATTCTTAAAATTTCGATCCCTGCCTATGGAGCGCTAACTCGCTAGTGCTATGGAAATAGGCAACTTTAGATTTTAGATATGCTTATGTGTGGTACTACAATCTTGAATCACATAGCCATAAGGTAAAGGTTAATGGTTGACATAACTACCAAACATCCATCACTTGTAGTGACATACCTGTACAAAGATTTTCATGCAGCATACAGTTAATGTAAAATGATAGAGAGTTCTCACTTGGCAGTAGTGATATGCCACTTGTACAGTATTCGGCGATGTCTCAGTGTATTTTGTACAAGTTCCGCTCCAAATCATTGGCATACTGCCTTCTTTCAAAGTTGCTGTGATTGAAAAATTGGCGTCCAAAAGACATTATACTTTATATGTCGCTTTGAGCGGATGTAAGATTTCCAATATTAAATGAACTTCAGATCTCTATCCAGTGTAACCATATATTGCGGTATCCCAGTCCCAGGGGTCAAACAACGCCCGAGTTCACCCTCCATATATAGAGAGAGAGCTCACTGGTTTCAGCCTTCAAAATCCTATTCAGTGGATAATTATTTTCTTTTTAGATTTATAGAAAGAAGAAAATCACAAGAGATGGCGACAGTAGACTACTTCGCCGACGACTTATAATTTAAGAAACCAGGCAAGGAAAGTAAAATTAAGAATTAAGAAACCATGCAAGGAAAGTAAAATTAAGAATTAAGAAACCATGCAAGGAAAGTAAAATTAAGAATTTCTAAATATTGTTTTTAAATAACGTAACGTCTGGGTTAATTACTGTAAAAGTTGCATACTATATAAATCCTTTTCGTGCTGTGGAATGAGTGCAAAATTATATTAGTACTTGAATATTGCAGCTATTTGTGAATGAATTGTTCTGGTAAGGAGATATTTACCATGTCTCTAAGATAGGGGCTTCATGTATATGATTTCTAAACTGGTTATATATATATATATATATATATATACAGCTAATTCAATAAAGGTTGTCCTTTGAAACCTTAAACTCTAAAACCTTAAACTCTAAAACCTTAAACTCTAAAACCTTAAACCTTAAACTCTAAGCGCGCAAAGCATAATGGGAGCACAATTTAAGCAGTTTAGAAAGATATATGGAGCCCATTTGTTGGAGACATGATAAAAATCTCCCTGCAAAAACATTTCACTGACAAACAGCTGCAATAATCAACTACTAAGCTTAAAATCAGTGCTCCCATCATGCTTTGCGCGCTTAGGGTTTAAGGTTTAAGGTTTTAAAGTTTAAGGTTTGCGAAGGACAACCTTTATTGAATTAGCTGTATATATATATATATATATATATATATATATATATATATATATATATATATATATATATATATATATATATATATATATATATATATATATATATTCGAATTTCGGGCATTTCCATATTATGGAAATGTAAAAAAAAAAAGTATTGAAATGGTTCATATGCAGGTACAGTAGTCTCCAACTCCATATCGTTTTGGAAATTGCTAGATAGTATACTTCAAAATAAGGTTTCCGTTTTTATATCAATTTTTTAAATAAGTTAGGGTTAGGTTAGGTTAGGTTAAGGTTGGGGTTAGGGTTAAGTTTAGTATTAGGGTTTTGTTTTGCGTTAGGATGGGTTTTTTCTACGTTATAAAAACGGAAACCTTATTTTGAAGTATACTATCTAGCAATTACCATATCGTTTTGGCCCCAACCCAATACAGAGAAAGACTTGAAGCAAGTCTAAGATATGGCGTGTTGAAGCCAACCTCGTTCCCAGGGCGTCTCTGTTACTCGATACTACACACGATGTTTTATGACTTTTATCGTTTTATTATGTATAGAATCGCTTCAAATATGTTTATAATACTAAGATATAATCTAGAATAACACTAGTTCAAAACGCAACGTTTCTCGAACGTTTTCTGAGCACGCGAGGCGCGCCGCTGGTCGCTCGTACCAGTCTCTAAACTGTTCGCATATATTATCGTTCATTACGGTATCACTCTCCCCTCCTCATTGAATGCCATCCATGACATGTACGGATCTTTCTTCTTATCTTATCATTTACAGGTATTTCTCTAGAATTGTTGATATCTTCTACCTAAGACACCTGGGCTGGTTGATCAGACACAACCCATTAACTCTATCAAACCTATCTAATACTCATGCGCGCATACTCATTCTACATATAGATCCGTTTTTCCGTAACCTCAGTTACGATACACGTTCCTCCATAACTATGGATTCTTAACGACAAAAGTACAATGTTTTTCTAATAATATGATTTAAAATGTTCCAAATATCTAAAACGCAAACATTGGCTGGTTCTGGTACATTTGAGGGTAACCAAACAATGGTGGAGTTGGTGGATAACCAAATGGTGGTGGAGTTGGTAGGTAACCAAACGGTGGTGGGGTCGGTGGGTAATCAAATGGTGGTTGAGTTGGTGGGTAACCGTAAAATAGGTGCGGTTGTGGTGGTATGAAGCCGCAGGTCTGCATCATTCCAACGGTGGGGTTTTGACATACATTGAACACACCAGTCGCTGGATTTCCGGGTGTGTTATATCCAAAACGTGATGGCGGCTGTCGAACTCGTTGTGGTCGTGGATAAAATCTAGCAGTTTCTTCGCCGTTATTTCCCGCTTGGATCACATTTTCATGTTCATTCGTCGTCGATGGGGTTTGGGTGATTGGGTTCTCTGTTGTAATGTCACCTGCAGTATTCTCTGCTGTGAGATTTTGTTCTTCCACTGTGGGGTTTCCGTCTTGTTCGCTTGTCTCACTTGGTGTCACTGCATTTCTCTCGGTGTCTTCGAACGTTTCACTGTGCTCAGTGTGCTGTGACTGTTGTGCGTTCAGTTCTTTCATATCATTTGGCAGTGCAGATGGTCTCTCCTCTCCCTCCGAATCTGAATCTGTGTCAACTTGTTCGTCATTTGCAGAAAACTGTTTTCTCGGTTTTAGCTTTTCTCTTCCTTCACTTGTTTCACTCTTCTTCGTTTTGACCGATTCGTTAATATGTAC